AAATAGTACTTTTTTTTCCCACTGATTTATGTCCCTCAGGGCAGTACCCGAATCCCCATACCCCTTTTATGGCCAATAACTTGCATATAAGCTTTCAAAATGGTCACTTTTTAATTTACAATTTCAATAGACTTGTATTAAGTTCTAAGTTTGTGGTCGAAAATTCATTATATTTGAATGTTTCGACAGAGAACAGAACACAGGGGTGTTTGTCCCATCACTACTAATAAATATGCAACATTGAGGTTTGTTTTTAAGAAAATGTGTACAATGAAAATACATTTACTTGGCCCTCATTAAAAGTTCACTCTCTAGCTTTTATTCCTTCACATTTTAAACACAAAAACACACAAAACAGGCACCTGTTCCAATAAGGCATTAACCACTTGCCCTCCTGAGGATTTACCCCCCTTCATGACCAGGCCATTTTTTGCTTTATGGCGCTGTGTTACTTTAACTGACAAATGCGCAGTCATGCAATGCTGCACCCAAATTAAATTTACATCCTTTTTCCCCACGAATTGAGCTTTCTTTTGTTGGTATTTGATCACCTGTGCAGTTTTTATTTTTTTTGCGCTTAAAAAAAAAGACCGAAAATTTTTAGAAAAAAATATTTGACTTTTTGCTATTAAACATGTCCAGTAAATAAATGTCAAAAATCTAATTTTGTCATCACTTTAGGCCAAAATGTATTCTGCTACATGTCTTTGCTAAACACAAATCCCAATACTTGTAAATCAAATGGTTTAAGTGAAAGTTTTAGCATTTAAAATGGGGGTATAGATACTGGAATTTTTTTGTTCTTTATTTTTACTAGTAATGGTGGCAGTAAGCGACTTATAGCGGGACTGCGGCAAGCATTCTGACACTGGGGGGAACTGATTTGGTGTCACTGACATCCCCAGTGACACCAATACAGTGATCAGTGTTAAAAAAAAAAGCACTGACACTGTACTAATGGCACTGGGCAGGAAGGGGTTAACATGAGGGGTGATCAAAGGGTTAACTGTGTGCTGTTTTACTTGTGTCCGTGCTTTACTGCAATCACACTGCTTTGGATGGCTGTGCACAGCCATCCAAAGCAGTGTGCACGAGCTGACAGGGAGAAGAACTGTATTGTTTATATACAGTTCTCCTCCCCGTCAGAGATGCTCCGCAATCACCGGGTGCCGGCGAGTAATCAGCAGCCGGGACCTGGTGATCGATAGCCGGGGTCGCGAACGGCGGTGTCGGTAGGGTGCGCTCCGCAGGCACCCCCTATACGGAACTGCAAAATCACGTATATATACAAGTGATTTTGCACACCTGTGCAGGCCTGTAGCAGTATATCTGCTATAGGGCAGTCGGGAAGCGGTTAACCAGACCCAATTTCCCAAAACCTTGCAACCAAAAGAGGAAGGAGACTGTGCATCAGCTACTATCAAATATCAACACTAAATATCAACATCTTTACTTTACTTTCATTTTTAATCTATGCAGAAACATCTTTGCAGATGTAATCCATCCACAAATCTAACATCAGGGTTTCCTAAAATAATGAAAGAGCCACTAAACATTATTTCATTATGTTCCAAAATAATAAAAAAGGGTCCATAAATATTATTTAATTACTTTCTAGAAGAAGGTCCACTAAAAATAATTTTATTAATTTTTAAAATAATGAAATGGCCTCAAATATTGCACATTTTATGAATAAGAGATCAATTGGTAAATATAAAGGAATATCCCAAACTGAATATACTTAGGAGCCCCAGTAAATGTGTCTACAAGTTTGGATAGAGAAGGTAAGGGTTAGAACCTCTGGAATGATTTTTGCTAGCACGGGAAACAGGAAGTGAGGGGAAATATTTCCACTGGGGACATAGGCAGTGATAAAAAATATAACAGAGGTTCTTCCCAAACCTATCCAAAAAAAAAATTAAAAACATACATTTTTTGGCTTAAATTAATTTTAATTCATTATTGATAATATCGTGCAGGAAGTTAATTTTTTCACATATATTCCAAAAACTAGCACTCAAATCTTCATACAACACAGGATCACGGATAACGTCACTCGCTAAGGTGGAGCCCTCCAAAGATTGAAACAAATAGATAGGAAGAGGGCTTGATTCCTGAAACACAATTTATAAATATATAGTGAAGCGCTATAAATCAATTCTAACACATGCAATAATCTCGTGCTATATAATGCTAGCCGTGCCAACATAATAGTGCTCAGTGGAAAAAAATTACAAAAAATGCAATTAAATGTTCACCAATATAAAGTGAAAAAACCATTAAATTATGTATATCCAGAAAATTGTGTAAGTGGTTCTTAAGAAGGGGAATCACATCCCGTGCTGGTATATCAATATCTAATATAAACACAATAAACATTAAATAATCAAAAAAGGAAAATATCTGTGTAATTATGAAACATAAAGTCCATGCAAGTGAAACTGTGCCAACGTGATCTTCACTCCAGTGAACAAGAAAAAAAAGATCCTCAAATGGCAGCAATGCCTGCTCACCTCCACACACTGACCCGCACAGGGCCAAAAGGCTATGATTGTCAATACCAGATCCTCTCAATTCCACTCATCATCACTGAAACACGTCAGCATTTGCCACTACAGGATCCCTGCTACCTGGGACCGTTGATTGTGGATCTCTCTGTTTTTATACCTAATGGTTTGTGAGTATCTATTTGTTTCAATACAATAAATTTCCTTTCTATCACGGTAATGCACGAGGAGAGTGCGCCCTCTTTTATTCTTTCTTTCTTAATTTTTTCACACCGTCTGCCTGTTCTGCTGATCATATAACCCCAATATAAATTTGCAAACTAGTTTTATTAAGCAAAAATGCCATAGAAAAAAGTTACAAATACATAACTAGCAAATATCTTATTTTTGTAAACATGTACTTCTTTGCGAATGTATTCACAGCTCCTTCACATAAAGAAGCTTTTCTTCATGTAGAGTTACTGATCCTTTGGCATATTGTCCTCTGCTATCTCTCATCTGTCTCATCCCAATTCTTCCATAGTCCATGAATACTCTTTTATTGAGCGCTCCTGTAAAAATTATATTAAGAAATCTTTTCAAAACAAAAACAAGTCTCATGAATTTAAACACAATGCCTATAAAACCCAGCAGCAATATTCTGGACTGTTTGGCAATACCATATATTTCTAGAAACAAAGAAAATGTATGATAAATGCATTCCAAAGTCTAAAAGTTCTCAGCAATTTCTCAACTATAAAGCTGGAGAATGGATGAAAAGCGTATGAGTATTTTGCATCATAAAGGAGATTAATTGCTATTCTATCCTTTTTTTCATTCCTGCCAAGCTGAAGAAGTTGAATGTTCCATTTAAATCACTACCTAAAAAAACACTTTAATGGTAAACATTATTATTTCACTTTCTTTTGTAATTCTAATTAACAAAATCACACAAATGTAAAAAACAAAATGGGAAAAAAAAGGAAAAGAATTGTTATCGTAGCTTAGAACAACTACATAAACCTGTCCTATTTGGAAAATAATCTTTTATGTCAAATGCTAGGAATAACAACACAATATATGTTTTGCGCACAGTAAGTATTATAATTTGACATAAATCATTTTGTGCATTTACATATGCCAATTACCTGTAACAATATTTATATACAGTGCATATACCGTGAATTGCAATTTAAGTATGTATGTTTTTATATTTATATTTTAATACTTGGAGGAAAAAAAACAATGTTCTAGATTTTTTTTATAAGGTTTGGAGTGCATTGACCATTTAGTTTCATGATGCCATTTGTTGACCTGTATGCACATGTCTATAGTAAGCTTCTGTCCTACATGTAATAATCAGTATTTGTGCTGCAAAATATTTAGAACCACCAAAACGGAATAAAATGGTGGGTGTTGCAAATTTTATATCACACGGTATTTGTGCAGTGGTTTCTCAAATGCATTTTTTTAAATACACTTTGATGAATTTTGATGCACAAAAACACAATATAATACCCAATTGTTTGGTAAAATATAAAATATGATGTTATGCTGAGTAATTAAATACCTAACATGTCACACTTTAAAATTGCACATGCGCGTGGAATGGCAACAAACTACGATACCTAAAAATTTCCATAGGAGACCCTTTAAAAGCCTTTACAGGTTACCAGTTTAGAGTTACACAGGACGTTTTTACCGGCCCAGTCTTTAGACTGTAAATAAATAAACACAAATTGTCTGGTGGTGCTGTGACCAGCTAGTGAATAAAACACATTCTACAGTGACAATGTGAAAAGTGAAATAAAATTAAACAATCATGAAATATAAATCAATCCACTACTGAGAAAGTAAAGTCCATTGTAATATGTGAACGTCGCTTCCAGTGCTTTAATCTTCCTATTGCTCAATGTCCCCAAACCAAAATCACCAAGTGCTCGTGAAACAGCCTTCCCTTTTGGGTTTGCATCACTAGACCCACATGCCTTCCACTCTCATGGTTGGCATGTATCGCTTGGTAAATCTCCAGTTATGGTATCGCCATGTAAACTTCATAGACTTCAAAACCCTTCTTACTCCTCTCCACCAGATGTCATAATCATGAAAAAGTAAGATATACTCCAATGGTACAGTAACCAATAAGCTCCACTTTATTAAATACGTTTTAAAAGCCATTCACAAAGTGTAATAGAAAAAACACTTATCATATTCCTATGACATTAGATATGAGTATCGTGCTCTCACCACAGCTGGACCTCACAAAATGGCGCTCCTGAGTCACTTCCGGTTCCAGTTCCTAACGTCACTTCAGGTCGCTGCACAGCCTCACTCTGACGTATTTTGTCACTTCCGACTTAGTCATTGGGATGGCTGTATGGCGCAGCGACTCTCTTTATGTACCCTCCTCATTGCTGCCATTGGTCAAACTTTAACAATGGGCGAAAACTCTTATAACCCACCAGTTTAAATGAATATCTCACCACATTACTGGTCAGTTGATACATTTTGGCGTTAACCCTCAAAGGGAACTCCTATAATGACCTGAATTATGCTTAGCCGCAATAAGGGGACATATACAGGGATTACAATCACTAAAGACTTAACAATCAATCCACTAATCATAAAACATAACTTAATATAAATACATTCAAAAAATATATATATAAAAGTATATATAAAAAGTAACTGCATGGGGCTACGGCATTGGCGTATAGGCGGAGAATAAAGGTGCACCATCCAGCCCTGCTGCCAGCAAGCTGTAAGCTGTAATATGTTCCCTTTTGTCCTGTAGTCCTGTTTCAACATGGACACAGCAGCCGCACTGTTGTTGCAGATACACGTAGCATTCCAGCCCCTGAGATTGCCCCTGGGGTTGTTCTGATAAAGATGGAACCCCCAATATTGCTTTTTCCAGCCCATGTACAGCAAAGAGACACCAAATGGCCACTTCCATTCGAACTGTGTGTAAGCTTGTTTGATGTCACAGAGAGCTGTCACCAGTACTGTAGGAGATACTGTTGAGTGACAAACCACAGTTCATTAGTCAAAATGTTGATGTCTGATGGAATTCCAGCCACACTGCATGCCATGTCATCATTTAATTTGTAGATTTTTTTTTTTTTTTTAGAAGGAAACCTCATCCAGTAATTTGTGGATGTTTTCTCCCTCGGTTGCAAGCAAAACTCTGTCCATTTGCCAAAATTCCCAAACAGGTGCCTGCGTGTCCTATAGCTTCCGTGGCATATTCCACCTGATCCAGGTGGCCCTCTGGAGAGAAGATCATAGTTCTAGAATCAGATCTGGAAGACATGTTGAACTGTCTTTACACTGGTCTTTATCTTATCTTAACACCTCCCGGCCTCACTGTGACCTCCCGGCTCGGCGTACAAACCTCCTCCAGCCATCAGATCACCAACATGGCATTACAGGCAATGCCTTCAATAAAGAAGAAAGTATAATATTTAGACTAGATATCTTTTTTTTTTTTTTTTGTAGATCACCTATCCAAAGAAATCAGTTCAGAATTTGAAGGTGTCAGTGTTGGATTCACTCGGGATTGTGTAACAATACAGCCATCCAAGATCCTCTATATTTTAATCCTGGTCTTTGAAAACATATATTCAGTTTGCCTTTGCAAAAATTGTGGAGTAGTGCAAATTAGCGGTGGCCAATGTGGTTTTCTATACATAGATTCTGCTTCAGTTAGAAGCTAACCTTTGCTATGAGGAGCCAATTTGTAAATTGTAACTTTTAGCGAATAGTGCTACCATACAGTAAATATTGAGCATTTTATTGCAGTTTGACCAAGTATATGATTTGCAACCTTCCTATATAATTGTGTTGTCATATAGGAATGTGTGAGATGTGCAGTAGCTGGTGAGCAATGGAATTAAAATACCAGCTACACATTACAGTCAATATGTTAAAGTGGTTACCATGGAAGCACATGCTTTTCTGTCATATGAGAAGAGATGGGCTGAATGAAAGGAAAAGCAACCATTTTTTTTATATTATTTTGTTGCTGATTCTGATCATTTTATGTTTTTGATACTCCTCAATTTAATGCTGAACATCAGACAGATATAAAAGACACAAATTGATGCAGCTCTGGAATCATTAATACAACATTACATGTATTTTCAAAAAGCACAATCAGTGTAAATACCTGAATTCAATCTGTTGTTAGCCTCTTGCAGTCCTTGTAAAGCAGGGATGGCATGTGAAAGAGAAAAATAGTACATGGATATAAGTAGTTCATGTGCAGAGAAAAGGCATGCTGATAGAAAGAGAAGGCAGAGAGATGGAAATATAAGTGCATCACTGTGCTGCTTCTCCTTCACTTTCCAGTCAAGGGCTGGAGGGGGTCCAGGATGACCTGGGCTCAGAGGAAGTGGGTTGAATGATGCTGACCATCAGACTGACATCTAATGGTAGACAAATAGTACTGCAGCTGAAATCTCTGGATTAATCCCTTCCCGCTGACTGCCTCCCAGCCCTTAACTGTCACAGCAGTCACAGCGGAAAGCTCATGATCAGTGCCAGCTACTGTGCTGGGATGTGCAGAGAGCACGATCTCAACACAGTAACAACACAATAGACATTTTTCCTTTTACAGGGTAGATTAAATAGGCTTAGAAAGGGGGTGGGTGTAGATTTACAGTAATCCTAATGCATTTTTTTTATAAATAACAAACATGTCATACTTACCTGCTCTGTGCAATGGTTTTGTACAGATCAGCCTTGATCCTCCTCTTCTTGGGTCCTCCTGGTGGTGCCTTTCTATCCTGTGAGGAGAAAAAGAAGGAGAGACACATTTAAAACCACTTTAAGCTTAGTTTGACTTGCATTCCACTTTAACTTTTTTTCTTCATTCTCCTGTGTGGAAGTCATGGCATTTTAGCTGTTTGATTTGTTGCTACAATATGTTCATATCAATTGATCATGATAGAGATACCAGCAGTCAAAAGGAGAGCATTGTATCAAATATTTTTAAATTTTTTTTGACAGCCTGAATAAGCATAAACAGCATAACAAAGCTTTGTCTTCAAGCAAGTACTAATATATATATATATATATATATATATATATATATATATATATATACTGTGTGTATATATATATATATATATATATATATATATATATATATATATACTGTATATATATGTATGTATACTACACACTGCTCAAAAAAATTAAACGAACACTTTGAAAACACATAGATCTCAGTGGGGAGAAATATCTTGCTGGATATCAATACTGATATGGGCTGGGTAATGTGTTAGGAACGTAAGGATGCCCCATCCTTTGATGGAAATGAAAATTAGAAACCTATAGAGGACTGAATTCAAAGACACCCCGAAAATCAAAGTGAAAAAATTATGTAGCAGGCTAGTCGATTTTGCTGAAATTTCATTGCAGCAACTCAAAATAGTACTCAGTAGTTTGTATGGCCCCCACGTGCTTGTATGCATGTCTGACAATGTCGGGGCATGCTCCTAATGAGACGATGGATGGTGTCCTGGGGTATTTCCTCCCAGATCTGGATAGACCAGGGTATCACTGAGCTCCTGGACAGTCTGAGGTGCAACCTGGCGGTTTCGAATGGACCGAAACATGATATCCCAGAGGTGATCTATTGGATTTAGGTCAGGTGCACATGAGAGCCATTCAATGGATTTAATTCCCTAATACTCAAGGAACTGCCTGCATACTCTCACCACATGAGGTGGGGCATTGTATGCACCAGGAGGAACCCAAGACCCACTGCACCAGCGTAGGGTCTGACAATGGGTCCAAGGATTTAATCCCAATAGTAGTCAGGGTGCCATTGTCTAGACTGTAGAGGTCTGTGTGTGCCTCCATGGATATGCCTCCCTAGACCATCACTGACCCACCACTAAAACGGTCCTGCTGAACAATGTTACAGGCAGCATAACGTTCTCCATGGCTTCTCAAGACCCTTTCACGTCTGTCACATGTGCTCAGGTGAACCTGCTGTCATCTGTGAAAAGCACAGGGCGCCAGTGGCAGACCTGCCAATTCTGCTGTTCAATGGCAAATGCCAGTCAAGCTCTATGGTGCCGGGCAGTGAGCACAGGGCCCACTAGAGGATGCCAGGCCCTCAGGCTACCCTCATGAAGTTTATTTCTGATTGTTTGGTCAGAGACATTCACACCAGTGGTCTGCTGGAGGTCATTTTGTAGGGCTCTGGCAGTACTCATCCTGTTCCTCCTTGCACAAATGAGCAGATACCGGTCCTGCGGATGGGTTAAAGACCTTCTACAGCACTGTCCAGCTCTAGAGTAACTGCCTGTCTTCTGGAATCTCCTCCATGCTCTTGAGACTGTACTGGGAGACACAACAAACTTTCTGGCAATGGCACGTATTGATGTGCCATCCTGGAGGAGTTGGACTGCCTGTGCAACCTCTGTAGGGTCCAGGTATCGCCTCATGCCAGCAGTAGTGACACTGACCCTAGCCAAGTGCAAAACTAGTGAAAAACAGTCAGAAAAGATGAGTAGGGAACAAAATGTCAGTGGCCTCTACCTGTAAAACCATTCCTGTTTTGGGGGTCATCTCATTGTTGCCCATCTAGTGCACCTGTTGTTCATTTCATTAACACCAAAGCAGCTGAAACTGATTAACAACCCCCTCTGCTACTTAACTGACCAAATCAATATCTAAGGAGTTTAATTGACTTGATGCTATACTCTGATTAAAAAGTGTTCCTTTCATTTTTTTGAGCAGTATATAAAATGTATGAGGAAATATAGAAACAGTTACATTAGATAAGAAGCTGAGGTAGCTAAAGGACACCTCATGCTGACTGAGAGCAGATTGTTTAGCTGCTTTTAGCACAGTATAACCAATTAAATGAAAGGCTGCTTGAAACCCCTGTGTAACACTTGTGCAAGCTGTTAAGGCTTTTCATGGCCGAAATACTGATGAAGCCTCACAAACAAAGAATTACAGTAACTTGCTGAAATGTTGGCTATAGATACATTGCAGAACTTTGTAAAACAATACATAAGAAACTCTAGGCAGAAATAAAAAACACAAACTACTGCAGCTCAGTACTGATTTATACATCATTAAACGGAATTTCTTTATGAAGGGGGTGAAAATATCTATATTTCACTTGATATCCAGTGCAATCCTCTGTACAGCAAAAAGAAGAGTGAGAGAAACTCAAGGAGCCAGTTAATTATGCTGCAGTGCTTATATGCTAACAAAGACCAAGTCCAGTCACAGGCTAGGAACAAGAGCTCTAAGCAGGGCCGGCGCTAGCTGGCTTCCCTACTCTCCACCAAGGCTGGGGGGGGGGGGCCAGGGTGGGCTATGCCTCCCCCAGATTTCAGCTGTTTCCCCACAGGCTGGTCTTTTCATGGATGCTGTGCTGGCTGCTGAGTACCTTCCCCCCATTCCCGAAATCACGGCTGGGACAAGGGGAGAGCAGCCTGGAGCAGTGATGCCTACAAAGGAGAAATGAAAGGAGAGATGGGAGGTGCAGTCTGTGCTATGCTGGGAAGGGTAATTTGAAAGGATATTTGCTAGAGGAGGGATTTAGGGGAATTTGTCCTAGGTGGGGGATTGAAGGAAGATGATTGATGCTGGGAGGGGGGATTGGAGAGATTTGTGCTAGGAGCTGGGATTGGAGGGGGGATGCTAAGAGGGAGGATTGGGGGGCATTTATGCTAGTAGGGGGAATTGGGGGGGTTGTGCTAGGAGGAGGGATTTCAGGGGGTCATTTCTGCTAGGAGAGAGGAATTTGTGTTAGGAGGGGGGGAAATTGTGCTAAGAGGGGGGATTGGGAGGGATTATGCTGGGGGGGGTTGTGCTGGGAGGGGGGATTTGTGTGGGGAGGAAAGATTTGTTCTGGGAAGGGTAATTTGGAGGGGGTTGTGCTAGGAGTGGGGAATTCACGGGGGTCATTTCTGCTAGGAGAGGAGGAATTTGTGTTAGGAGGGGGGGAAATTGTGCTAAGAGGGGGGATTGGGAGCGATTATGCTGGGGGGGGACTTGTGCTAGGAGGTGGGATTGGCGGGATTTATGTTAGAGGGGGGATTTGGGGAAGAGGATTTGTGCCATGGTGGAAAACTTGAGGGGGGAAGAGGATGTGTGCTTGGAGGGGTAAAGT